GCAGGAATCAAAAGGAACCGTTTCTTCAAAACGCAGCTTGACTTGTATTGTCTTTTTCTCTCTCTCTCTTTTTTTTTTTTTTTTCCTAGCTGGAAATCTTGTAGAGTTAGACATCACTTTATTGCACTGTTTATTCACCAGAAAAATGAGACAAACAAAAAAAAGGGAAACAAAACAAAGCAAAACAAACAAACAAAATCTATCAGACTAGGAGGAAGAATCCATGTGTGTATGTTTTGAGTTTTATTGAAGGGTGATGGTGGTGATTGTTTACAAAAGCTATGGAACAAGCAAATAGATTTTAATGTGGGATGGTCTGTTCAGAAAGGGAAAGGTGCGGACTTGAAATTTATCTTCTGTGAGTTTCTTATCATTCTGGGCTTTTTCCACCATGTTTTTCGAGTATGCACAAAGTATAAATACGGTTCTATAAATAACTCTTACTAGTTTGCTAATTAAATCTCCTTAAGAAGCTGTAAATCATGCTTGCTGCTGAATGCCTAGCATGAAAGGTAGGAGACTATATATACAGCCTGACTTACTTGACTTTACTGCTACTCTAAACTCTCTGTTGAAGAAAAAGTACATACAAGGCTTCATGTTGTCATAGTTTTATGATTTTTGTTATAAGTATTCTACATCAAAACATCACGTAAAGCACTGGGAATTAATGAATTAATGCTCCAACTCTGTGGACTTCGATTTTCCAGGTACCTGATTCTCTGAAGAGAAGCACTGCATACTCCAGAGGACTTCGCATCCAAAGGGAAAGATTGCAAGTCACAAGATTCTCCCCGCCCTCTTGCTGCCTGGCAGTGTGTGGATGTGCTCCCCAGCTGTTTCGCCTTTAACTTTAGAGTAAAGCCTTCAGTTTCAGACACTGTCTCTCTCCGTTTATTTCATTTGTTAACCTCAGTTGCAATTATATATTGTATTGTGCTATCTTGCATTCTGATATCATATATAGTAAATTAATTCCTCAGATCATTGCGGCTGTTCTTAGTGCAATCTCCCATCTCCTTACCCTTCCCCTTTTTTCCCTTTCTGCAGGGCCTGGGTCCATGGGTTCCCTGCCCCGTTAGTCACAGAACCAGGCTGAACTGCCCTGTAAACACTTGGCACCTGTCCCCATCAGGGACACAGATAGATCTAGAGATAACTCTATGATACATGTAAATGTTTTTGTCTGTATTAACCTAGATATTTCCCTGGAGAGGTCTTCCAACAGTATTTTGAAATTTCATTTTTTTATCATCTTTTACCAGAGGCTTAATGAAAAAAGATTATAATTTTATTAGCTTTTACCTTCTTCCCCCTTTCTTGCCATCTCCCTTTGGGGGAATTTGTTTGAAGCTGCAGCAGCAACTTAAGATTTGAAAAGTTGTTCCTTCAAGAACTTCTTTTTTTCTTAGAATTCATTACTTTTATACTGAATTCATCAGAAAAAATATTAGATGAAACAGACTTTTTTTTATAGCTTCAGATTTTCTTTCTGACGTTACATGATGGTATTATAACTATGAATTCTTCACAGTAGAAAACATTTTTTCTTCTCGAATACAGAATGAAATAGATGTTAAATATTCTGATAGTTGATCAAGTTTTCATCTCTATTAAGTTGATATTTTGCAACCTAGAAAAATGAGAATATTTGATTTTGAACTTCAGACAGTGAAGTAGCTGGCTTGTAATTGTAGGTTAACAATTTCTTTGGTTTATTACTTTATAACTGTATGGGAACTGCTGAGTCACGGCCTGAACCTCTGATTGATCACCTGAGGTGGGCAGTGAGTCAGCCAGAGGAACACAGGTGAAGGCAATTCCTAGACCCATTTAAGAGCTGGCTAGCAGTGGGGAAGGATCTCTTCTGGAGATCTGCTCTGCTGGTGTTTTGTGAGTGAGCCCGGGATAGGGGTAAGCCTTCTATTTTTTCTCTTTTGTTATCATAGTCTGCTTTGCCTAACTTTCTTGGGTTTTTTTTGTGATTATAACATCCTAATATTTTTTGATTATACAGTAACAAGAAAAAAACAAAAAGAACAGTCAGGGGAACAAGGATTCTAGAGTCCTAGAAATAGCCCTGTATTGCACTCAGAATTAGAATTGAAATAGTTTGACTCTGCAAGTTTGGACTCTTACAGACATATGAGAACTTAAGTTTGTTGTTTGGCCATTAATTCATAGCATCATTTATAGAGACACATCTAACTTAAATTTAAGTATTTCTTTGATTAAGTAATGATCAAAATAATGATCCAAATAAAATTAGTAGTTTTGAGAAATGCTAGATCATGCTGCATGGTGGGTTTTACTTAATTCAATCTGTATTATATACTCAATATACTTAAACTGCATTTCTCATTTTCCTGTAGTTTTTTTGCATCCCTGATTTGTTTCTGAGAGTTTTCTACCAATCTGGTTAAATTCTTTCTGCAAACTGTTTTCATTCCTGTGAAAATGTGTGTGTTATACTAAACACCCACGTCATGTTCTAATTTAGGGTTTTTTTTGTTTGTTTGTTTTTTTTCTCTCTTTTCTAAATCTTTTTTTTCCCCACAGCATGCTTGGGATTTCTTATTGATGGGTGTTTGTGAAACTGAACACTGAGTTTATTTTCAAAATGTATTCACTAAGTCAGTGCAGATGTAGTTAACTTCTTAAAAAAATTAATGCCAGGTTCTGAGTATAGTGTGTTGGGGTTCTTGTTCACTTCCTTCTGAAGTTGCTGTTCTTTGTCATTACTTCTGCCACTCTTACAAGGTGCCATGCATGACAAAGACAATAGTAGTGCTTATTTCTTCTTGGACCTTCTTAGTAAAAATGCCCTTCAACACCAGGAAAATACCAAGAAAGTGTCGGGAAACAGTGGAATTTGTACAGTTCGTAAAGCCACATGAGACTTTTGGTTCAGAATTCTTGTGTATTAAAATTAGTGTAAGGAAGATTATTTTTTGTTTCTTAGTGGATAATACCTTGGTAATATTTTGAATATTATGTTACTGCACAGTAGGAGTCATTAGCTTGCATAAACATTATATTTGTATAAAAAGAACATTGTTAATGCTTTAAGTAAACTTCCTACACCTTTTAATTCAGGGAAACATTAAGAGTTTTTATTCTTAACAAGCAGCATTTTTCTGTTGGGATTAGCAGTATGGAAAGCAAGCTGGCTCAGCTAATTTGTCCACTACAATAGTTAAAGGCCAACACGCTGTATTAATGCAAAATAGCAACATTAAGATAATTTATAATTCTCAGGCACGTTTTCATACTGTTCAGAATGCAGAATGTGCAATTGTTGGTAATATTTTTTTTTTTTTTTGAGAGTGTAGCACATAATCTCTAGTGAATGTATTGACACGCTCTTCATTTCTTGCTTAATTTTTTCTTACGGAAGCCAAATTCTCTTTTGAAATTGCAACCTAATTTCCACTGAAGTTTTGGTAAAATAACTTCTGAATTAGTTCCCAGTGATGGATTTTATCATTTTCTTTACTTTCACTTAAAAGAGCTGTATGTTTATTTTATTATTACACGTGTGCTATCATTCATGTTTATTGCAATTCTGCAATAGCTGCTTCCACTGTGTAATTTACCATTCATTCATTTAGCTTCTGGAGAAGCTTTTACAAACTTCTGAATAGTTATTTTGTGTCAGTTTCAGCTGCCAGCTTGTACTCTGAGACACTTCCTTGGTAACAGTTTCCCTGATTCTACATTTTTTTAAAGAACTATCAGTGATGAGAGTAGTCTGTGATATAAATAAGGAGTTAATTTCCCCTTTGTCTCGCAGGCATAACGTGTAGTGACTTTGAGAGGATCTGTATCTCTGTAAATGGAATCAGAATTGCGTCACAGAGGCACAAATTATCTTTCTAGTTTTTGTATCACCTACAGTCATGGTTCTGGAAGCGTTGTACTAACAGAGTTGTCCAAACTGTCATGTTTTTTCTCCTTTTTTTTCCCACTTTCTTACTTTTTTTTCTTTTTAAGTAGGTGTTGATGTAGTCCTACCTTTTTTTTTTTTAATTGCCCGTCTGTGCCATCTAGCTAAAATAGTTGTCTTTAGGTATCTGTAGTTTTGATTGCAAGTCATTCACTTTTAGTGTGTTTTTATTTTCTTTTGGTTAGTTGCTGTTTTTAAAATTTTGTATTACATCATATTCATTTGAAAAGAACTCTGAAGATCACATAAAAACTGCAGAATCCTTTAGCCTATCATACTAGACATAATGGAGAATTTCTTCAAGAAATCAGTGAACTGTGGATAGTTTGGTCATAAGCTGTTTTTTCATGACAAAACTCGTTTTATATTTTGAGCTATCTTCTGAACCTGTGTTTACTTTCTGTATTGCTTTACGGAGAATAGAGGTTAATATTTCTCAAAACAATGAGGAATCTTAATTTTACACAAGGTCACATTGCCAAGTTTTCAAAAGAGACAGCAATTTTTATTCCACTTACTGTGATCTATGTTCATGCAAGTATGCAAGCTGAACTCTTACCTGTAAAATAGCGAAAACTATGACAGAAACTGAGTGTACACATCTGGGTTGTGTAATATAGTTATGTGAGGTTTAGACATCCAGAAGTTTTGTTAAGGTCTTCGTTCAGTTGTCATAGAATCAAGAATATTTTGGGGGTATTTACAGTGGTTTGTTTCTCTTAATGCAGATAATGAGGTCATAACTCAGAGTTGCATTTGCTTTTGAAGAATATTACCATTAATATGTATGCTTTTGAATTGCACTGTTTATAACTTAACTTGGAATTTAAATCATAGTCTTAGACACTTTTATAGTTATTTCTATTATCTGCTTTTTCCCCTAGGTCTAACTTGTTGAAAAGTATTCTAAAAAAAAGTCTTTTCCTCTAGTATTTCCCTATAGATATCAGAAATTTAAGAAGTTAGAGACAGTTGCAAAATGTTCTTTCAGTTTTCTATCCTTCAGTTTTAAAGATCTTAAAATTCAGACATTTTGGAACTAATAAAAAAAATTGTTGTTCCTCTAAATTTTAAATGAGTTGGGGAATGTGTAATTTTCTTGTTTGTATTTATACTGTTGTTCAGTTAAACCTTCTTTTGTCAGTCAGGGTCCACTGAATGTGTATTTTCCCTCAAAGTCATAATTCTTACGTCTCTTGTGACTTTTATAGTTATTTTGTATGGCTTCAGAGTGACAGATTTAAGTCTTTTTATAGTTATTGAAGTTGAAATATATCTTGATTCTAGTCTCTCATTTTTTAGTGTAATCTGAAATAGAAATAAAACCTTGCATCTAGGAGAACTCTCTTGTGAATTTTCCTACTATTTCAAATATAGAATTTGATAAACCTTTTCTAATCCTCTGCTACAGACAGATCTTGGGGGAGATTTTTCCTTTCTATAGCTGCATTTTATCTTTTAACGTGAGCATTCTAGCTTAAGTCATTTGAATTTTTGACTACGTTCCTATCAGTAGTTGCAGATAGAGAAAAGAATTGATTACTGTTGATGCCTTCGTATACTAGTTTTGATCTCCACTTTCTATGCTTCTGGAAAAGAGACAAATTCTTCAGTAAACAGTTTTGAGGAGTAAACTATACTCGTTACTGTGTTGTAGAAAAAGAGGATGAATTCTTAAATCTAGTTTTTTGTTCTTGTTTTCTGTTTTTTTTTCTCTTGTGTTTATGTTTGAGGGTGAATCTTCCTGTGAATGTTCTGCTCAAATTTGTTGCCATGTGACAGGTTGCAGCATAGGGACAGTCTGACAAAATGGCATCTGACATGGAAAAGCACATGAAGCAGTGTGTCATTGACTTCACTCATGTGGAAAAAATTGTATCTGTGGACATTCATCAAGCCTTGCTGAAGGTTTCTGGAGGCAAAACAGTGGATGTAAGCAGAGTGGTGGTGGTTGATGTGTTTCAGCAGCGGTGAAAGCAACATGAAAGACAAGCCACGTTCTAGATGGCTATGCATATCTGTCACAACAGAAAACATAGTCAGCTCATCAGCATTGCTATGTGAATTGAAAGCTTTAAGTAATAGCAAAATAGATCTTGTTTTGTACTGTCTATTTTGTCTTTTATGGTAGTACTGTAGGGCTTCTAATTTACAGGTAACTTTAATCTGCAGAATGATTTCTTGAGGAAAATTCATTCACTGATTATTTATCAAGCTTCACGCTTTCCAGAAAAAATGCAGTAGCCACAGAATGAAACAGAAGAGGATCCTTCTGAAGGTGAGGAATCCGTTTCATTGTACGTGTGAAGGAATGCTAGCACAGGTTACTCAGATGTTGTGGAAACTTGTCTTTGGAAATCTTCAGAAGCTACCTGGATATGAGCCGAGACAACATGCTCTGGGTGTCCCATCTGTTGAAGCAGATGAATAGAGAGATTTTCTTTAACATGAACCATTCTGTGATTCTATTATTCATGTGAATGACTAGCAGTAATAGACTTTGTTTTGAAAGTCACTTGAATGGTCATGAATCATAATTGTGACTAATAATGGAAGAAGTATGAAAGAAATCATTGTTTTAAACTTTTGTGAAAACGTGAGAACACTGTTTTGAAGATCTTCACATCTCTTCTGTTTTGCTAGTTTAAAATTACTATCTAAATGTCCTTTATGAAATGAAAAAACATACATAACTAAATATCTGTTTGAAGCTTCGTGTCTATTTGTAATGCTTTAGGTTTTCTTAGGTAAAAATGCATCGAGAGTTTTACCAGACCCTAGTAGTCTTATGGATTTCAATTACTTTCCTACATGCACACACATAAGCAAATAATGTATGCAACACTTTTAATCTAACTTTCTATGAAGGGGCATGGATTTAGAGCTTTGGTTTGTGCTTATTAACTGCTACATTTTCCAGCATTAAGTGGTTTTGAAACCAGAGTGAATAGCTTGTTTGTTTTTTCATGTTATACTCTTAGATGACATGTGTTAAAGCTTTGAATATGCCAACTGATTATTTTGTCTTAGACACTGTTTTTTTAGCCCTGCTCACAACTGCCTGGCAAATTTTTTTAGGAAATGTGTAATTCATTACAGGCTGTGTTCTTTACTACAAAAAGATCTTGAAGATATCTATAAAATCGTAGAAATAGACAAATAAAATAAGCCATATATTTTTTTCTGATCCATTGCATAAAAAAAATCTGGGTTTTAAGAATCTTAGCAGGCTAGATCTAAGTCTAAATAAATGGACGTTTGTATACAGCTATAAACAGTCACACTTAACTCCTAAAGACTGTGTCTGGAAAATTCATGGATATATTTTATTAATAATTATTACTTCATAAATCCTGATATAAACAAATTAATAATTTAGTATATTTGCTCAAGGGATGCATTTCTCTTTGAATAGGGTAGAATATATTAGCAAGTTAATGTCCCTACTGTAGTCAAAAGTGAGAGAGAATTAATGAAGATAATAAGGTTTACTTTGATTATTTCGTTATTGTCATTGCTTTACCTGCCCTCTATTATGAATGCCTAATTCTGTCAGTAGTGGCTTTATTATCTTAACTCTGCCTGAATTCCTTTACAAAACAGGTAAAACAAATCAAATTGTATAGAGTAAGTATTCTTACATCTTGCTACTTTAATTTGCTACTTGGACGTGGGTTTTTTTGTGAATTTCCTGATTTTATATATATTTTATATATATATATATATATTTATTTATATATTATATGTATATTTAAGTGCACTTGAGGTGGGGGTAAAAACTTGGCTGAATTTTTCTTTTGGTTGTCATGATGGATACATAAATACGAATTTTTTTTATCTTGAGAACTTTGATTCTTCAACTTTCAATGGACCGATTAACTGTAGTTCAAAGTTAGGTTCCCAAAAACGAATTTGCAGCTTTCTCCTTTCTTAGACAATTGGCTCCTCTGGGTGACTAATCTGAGGATGCCAAGGTTTATCTGTCTGATAGGATGTGAGAATAAAGATGTGTGCATCAGTTGACAAAGTTTCCTTAAATAATTTTTTGCAAGAGCATTCAAGGATTCTACGGAAAATAGTGCACTAAACGATGAGACAAGTTTAAATTATGACCTTTAGGGCATACAGAATTATTTACTGCTCTAAAATTTTCTGAAGTATTTAAATATCTCAAGTAATTCTCTTCTCATGAAATGTCAGATTTGTCTACAAAACACAACCAAAACGAGAAGAATGGCCCAAGTGATTTCATTTATTTTCTACTGTCTAATAGAAAATGGAGATGCTTAGGCAAAAAGAAAATGACATTGCTTATTGAGAACTCTTGGTGGTCAAAATCCATTGTAGAAATTAAAAAAGCTTTTGAACCAGAAAATGTACTACTAATTCTCTGGGTTAAGTTATTAAACCTTTTCTGCTGTTATTGTTGCATTAGTTCAATAAAATACAATAATATCATTGCATCTGGAACTTCTTTCTATGTGACGTAAAATGATCCCTTTACATTTGATTCAAATAACATCACTACTTGCTGGTAATGGCCAGCGCTTGGCTGGTGTTGCCAGCCAGCATGTTTTTTATATTTAGTTCACTAGGCATGTTTGTTTTCCTATCAGCTCTTCTCTTTATGGCAAGCCATTTTCTAAATTCCATCATGGGCCTTATGCTTGCTTTCAGTTTGCATTTTTTGTCATGCCAAATTTTTTTGCCAAAACTTCTGTTTCCTGTATGGGTGTGACTGTGGTAGTCTCTTTCCAAGTGTCTATGTTTCATATTTGAACAGCATATTTGAACATCAGTGGTTGTATCAACTTTGCTTGCTGAGAATGTTTTCCTCCACAGAGAGATCTTTGCATCTTGACATTGACAGCTTTTGTCTTGCCCTGAGGCAATTTTCTTTAGGGTCTGTGGGTAGTCTGTCAGCTGCTTTTGTAGAAATAAAAAGGAAAACAACTATGCCGATTACTTCAAATATGGCTTGCATGTGAAAGTTGATGAAGGCAGTGTTTTGACCTTTTTTTTCTGGACATAGGTATTCAGAATGTGTATGTGTCTTCATCTTGCAAGTATCTAAGATCCTTTCATAAAAATGATTTTAATTAGTAGTATTTAGTAGGGTTTTAATGTCTTAGTAAAGCTTGCACCATCTGCTGATTTGAAATGCTCCTTTAACCAGGATGAAAGTAGTAGTATTTTTGTTCATCTTCCTTTCTCTTTTTCTGAAATGTCTGTCAGGTAAGTGACAAAAGAGGGTGTAGGAGTGGGGAAGATCCTTAGCACACTCACAGCCCTCGGTCACTTTCTGTTCACAGATCCACAGAATAAGTTCTGTGACACAGCAGGGTACAACGCGGAGAAATGTGAATAGTTTGACTTGTTCGTGTCATTGGAGGAGGTGTTATGTGGCAGGTGGCAATGTAGCAGTCTTGTGGAGACCACTCAGGAGTAATGGGCTGGAAAATCCAAGGTCACCAGTGCAGCATCTTCCTAGCACATGCTATTGTTGTTGCATAAAGCAGTGACTCTGATTATTTAAAGGAAATAATTTAAAACAAGAAAGAAAAATGGCTGAGGTTGATGATATGTATTTGGGGGGACATTATTCAACATGATGCTCTTTTCTGCAGAGCCTCAGTTGGTTTCTAGGTAAGGTCGATTTCACTTTTCTTTTTAAAGGATGCTCATCTGGTCTCTCCTTTGACAGCTGCATTATACATGGTAACAGATGTATTTTCCTGAAGTAATGAAGGCTCTGGTGTCTAGAAACAGAAAATCCACCTCTAAGTGTTAGACTGTTTAGAACAGGATTGACTTTTCCTTTTTCTTTTTTTTTTTTCCCTAATTTCAGAAGTATTTACATCTTAGGGACAGAAATTGAAAATGCCTGCTAAGTTACAAAAATGAGTACCTTTCTTGAAAAGGTAAAGTTAAAAATCCCAAAACGTTTTTTCCAAGCAGAACTTTTCATTTCATTTGAGCACTGTAGTGTCTTAGCGTTAGCTTCCTCCTACATTTGTGTGTGCTGGAATATCACCCAGTAGTCTCATGTGTTACTGTATTTCTAAGTGATGACGGAAGGTATCAGATTAAAAGGAGGTAGAAGGAAGAGCATTTCTGTTCCAGAGAAGCACTTTGTCTATTTGAAGAGTTAATTATAAAACACTTTGCAAATTTTGCTGACCTGTAACAACAGAGATCTGCAAATTCCAGCAGCAGATGATACAAACTGTCACCCTTTACATTTAAATAGCTTGGGATACATTGTTAATTTTAAGGTCTGAACAGTTTTATGTTTATAGGAAGACTGGGAGTGTTGGGGAAGGAAAGGGGTATTAAATAAATAAATAAAAAGAAGGATCACTTCTGTGGTGGAGCTGTCTAACAAGCAGTTTCTAACTTGTACATGTGGACACTTGAGGGGCAACAAGATTTGGCTTCATGCTGTATCAGAGAAATCACACATCTGAATTCTCTGACAAATAAGAACTTTCTGTCCTTTTGGATTTTTAGCTGAAACTGATGTCCTTGTCAGCATACCAGGTAAAAACCAGTAATAAAACTGCCAGCACTGTCAGCTCCATTGGGCTTGCTGCAAGTTTCCCTCCACGTCTCAGGCTCCAGGACAGCCTTGCTAGCAGAATCCCTGGGGCTATTGCTCTGCAGCTTCAAGAGACCCTGTCTTTGGAGCAGACTAATAAATAATGTCTGACCTAAGCCAAACGCTGCAATAGTCTCTGGCCTCTAGGCAGGTATACATCAGGATTCCAGGTAAAGAAATGAAGCAAGATCTATGATGCCCAGAAATGCTTAAAACACTATGTTTATGGATTAGCTCTTCTGAATACATTGAAGAAACTTGATTTCACATAGTAATAACTAGTTCTACCTTTCAAACTGTGTCAGGAAGGTCTACCTTTCAAACATATCAGGAAGGTATGGCTGCCGGGGTGGACTATGTAGCAGTCAATGTACGATCTCTGCGGAGAGCTGAAGAGGAGGTAAGATTCTCAAGTCTATCAAACATGTTTCTACCCTTCAAATCAGAAAATTCAGCTGGCTGGATATATAAAACATAGAGACCCTGCCTATGTTTTGAAGCTTATGCAATTGAAACACGTATTTGCTATATTCCACATATCCCTTTGAATTGACTTTTTATGAGCTGCTATGACTCAGGGAGGGCGACATGAGCTTGCTACACCACCTTGTCTTTTACATCTACCTTTCTCTCTTTCCTTGTTCTCACCTAAATCTATGTATTCAGAAGATAAGACAAAAAATTTGTCTAACCCTAATCCATAAACCTACCGTCTGCATCAAAGAACTCAATTCTGTGTTAACTTTCATCTTTCCTTTTCATTGCTTCATTTACATTTTCATCTGCTTGCTTGCACCAGCAAGTTTCCAGAAACAAACTCTTACTACGTTTTCCCTTCATCCCCTGCCCAAAGAAATAGAACAGTACTTACCTTGGAAGTTGTTAAAAATTTCTGGAAAAGTCCAGAGTACCTCTGCTGTAGACTTCTGAGGCCTGCATACAGTAAGTACACTTAAGTTACTTTTGTTTTGCCTTGGCTGAAGATGCCATTCAACATAATTGTGTACACTTAAAATTTAAAAGAAATAATTTTATTTCTTTAACCAAAAATTAGAGGAGCTAAGACAGCTCATTTCACATGGCATCATTCCTATGAGCTGAAAGGTAATTTTCAGGGATTGTACATTTGGTAAGAATTTGTGCATCTGTGGGGTAGGGATTTTAATGTGCGGTGCAGCATTTTAGTAGCCAATTGAGATGGCAATTAAGATATAGCATTGTACATTAACATCACTGTTGCTCAGAAAGTGGCTGGTGACTGCTCTTCAGATGATGGTGCTCACTGCATTCTGCTTCTTAGCAATGAGTTTCTTAGTAGCTCATCCAATCTATCACAAGGAAAATAAAAATCACTTTATTGTTAACATTTCACATTGTTTTCTGCATCCAGGTCCCAAGGACAGAGAGGAGAGTAGAACAGGGAGGGAGGCAGAGGATGGAAGAGCCTGCAAGAGAAAATACCCTTGAAAAAAAATAGTTCCTTGGTTTTCCCTTAATTGACTCACTTTAGCTCAAAAAAAAAAAAATGTGGATGTGGTTCACTAACCCTGAATTGTGGAATACAGTTCTTAGGGGAGGATTGTGTAGCAGTATGTAAATAGTAAGATGCTGAAAACTCATAAGATCTTGGAAAATATCAGAATGTTCAAGAAATAAGGTACATGTACTACCTGTACGTATTTGAAAACTTATCAGAATTGTGTAATACAATGTTGCAGTTTCAGCCCTTGCACTTAGAAGAAGACGCATAAAAGCCTAATCAGTTAACTATCCTGCAATTAGTCATTTTCTTTCTTACTTTTTGCTCTGCTCCAATGTGAAAATGTTTTGCTTACTGACAATCAGTGCAGTTCACAAGACATGTCTCTCCGTTAGCCCTCCTGAGATTTCAAAAGTCTGCTGGGTTAAACTGCAACGGCTATAAAAAGACCCTGTATTGCACCTGAACAACCTCACAAAAATGTGGAAATCGTGTGAGAAAGATTTGTGATGTTCGTATTCCGTCTGGGTTATAATACTTGTGCGGTGACTTTCAGATTAGGAAATACAATTAGTCCTTCTGCCTGCAACTTTATATCCATCGAAGATGTGGACTAAATTCACAGATAGCCCTGAATAAGGAAAGATGCAGCTGCAAGAGATTGGGAGAAAGATAAATTCAGAAGCTCCCTGAATAACCTTACTGTGTTCTTATATCTCTGAAATTTTCTTGGGAATGAGCTAAGGCAATTATCTATCTTGTGACTTAGCTTGTGACAATTTGCTTGAAGCAGAGCTACAGAGGATGCTGACTGAGATCAGTAGCTCTGCTTTTCAACTTCTTGTAAATTAATCTTCTGTTGAATAGAAATGTTGGTGAGTTTGTTAGTCAACAGATTCTTAAAAGTAAGATATAGAAACTTCTCAGAAAAAAATATGAACTGCTTAATTTGGAATAAATACATATATATATATATATACACACACACATATGCACATTTTGTATGCATAGTTGCATAAAAAAGGAGCTTGTATCTATGAATGCTCATATTTATTACAAAAACACACAAAAATCTTCAGACTGAAATTACTGCCTATTCCAAACCAAGTTTGAGTATTTATATTTTTTTGCTAAAATTGTTGAAATTTAATTTACAAGTGGGATTGGTTATGTAGAAGTAAAAATTTCAAGTCTGATATATTTAAGAGGAAATATTTTATAAGTTTCTATCAAAATAAGCATTTCCATTATTCTATGATAGATAGCTGTTCAATATTTAACTTGCTGATGAAGATATTATTGTTTAGTTGATTATTCATCTGTCTTTTCTAAAGTGACAATACCTTCTGTCAGCTGTGTGAAGTCTCTTAGAGTTCTCTGACTTAAGTAGTAATAAGGGGAACAGTTAATATGGTAACATTTTATTTGAATATTTTTACTGTTAGTAATAAATGTACCAAGAACTGTCTTTCTCTTAAAATATTTCAACAATGCAGTAATGAAGCTCTTTAAAATGTGATGGATTAATTCAGGGTGAAAAAAAGAATCTACTCCATAAGGCTCTTCTCTGTGGAAATGTAAATGGATTTTATCCAATTCAGTATCTGTCCTATCCCCATTTGTGTACTGACTGATAGTATTAGCAGGCTAAATTTTAGCTTTGTTTTGTAATCAAAACCCCAGGGAGAAAAAACATTGAAATTGTAAAGGTTTGGAATGTTTTTTGTTTTTTTTTTTTTTTAATACAATAGTATTGACTGAATGATTTTTTACAGTTTTTTCTTCTTTCGTAAACAAAAAGTGATGATTCACATTCTCTGCTGTGTGTCATATTCTGCTGTTTGTCTCATTTAGAAGATCCAATTCAGATGTACATTTGTTTTTTGCTTTATATTAACTTTCAAGTGCTGGGGAAATAAACCAGCAGTTCAGCATTTTTATGCTGATACGCACCACTAGAGGCCATCATATACCTCCTTAAATATTAGATAAATATGCAAATGATTCTAGAGATAACGTGAATACTCAGTGAATGTAAAAGTCTATATGAAAGAACATGGGGAAAATTCTTAATTGAAGCAGGACTTCATCACAAGTTATTAGTATGAGCATTTCTCAGGCCAATTGTAATTGATTCAAAGCACCCATATTCTCTTCTACATTCCTACAAAACCTTTCAGTACACCACTGAGTTTAAATAATAAGTGACATCTGGAGACTGTAACTGTTCCACACAATGTACAGATTTACTAAATCAGGAAACTTGGAAAACAGGGCTGGTTTTAGTATGCTTGCATAAAATATTTTTCCCTCATGTTTCTAATCTGAAAAAGTATGTCATTCTCCATCTCACACAGACTTTTGTGAGAGTTGATTGATGAACTGACATTTAGTTACTGTTTCAGGTAAGTAAGTAATATGCAATCTAATCTCAGCGATTCAGATTCGAGTTGTGGAAATAAATGGTCTTACAGGTAAGGAATAAGAAGTAAATTTTAATTTCAAAATTTAAAAATTAGCATTCATTTTACAAAGTCAGAGATGCTACCATAAGACAAAAGTTAAGGGAAAATTATTATTATTATTTTATTGTTACAATTGATCTAGATTTTATTTACAATAAATCTGTGCTGTGGCATGGCCCTTGTTCAAGAGATTTCTTCTTGTCCTTTTTTTTTCAATTTTGCCTCTGCAGAGAAACCAGCTCTTCAAAGAAACAGATGTTTTTTATGTACAATATTTACAATTTATCTAAACTTTTAATGTGTGCTTGAGAAGGAAATAATTAAAATAAAAATGTATTACCTGCCAGCTTGGTAGTGATATTTTTTGAACAAAATTTTGAATGGAGAGAAAAATTACAGATAAATATAAAATACAAGTACTACTAAGTATCTTCACTTGTTTGATAGTATAAGCAACAGTAATCATACACTTTACACTTATTTTTTTTTTTAGTAAGACAAAAATAAAATAGCATATATGGACAGGAATGAAATTCACAAGATGTAATAAGTGGTAAAAGAGTTTCCCTTCATTTTGGGGGGGGGGGGGAATGGAGGATCGGGGAGTTATTGATGGAAGGAGATGGAACTTATTTCTTAATTCCAAAAGAAATTATGAATGTATATTTATGCTTCGAAAACAGAACGGAAAACTACTAAGGATTATTACGAATGTTTACTGGGTAACCTCAACGATTAGAAAAAATGTCCTGACAAGAACAGCTTGAGACAAGATATATATTGTTCCGCTAGATCTGAAAAAAATAAAAATAAATAAAAAAATAAATTTTACGAAGCTCAGGATTACTGATGAATCTCTTGATAAAATAAATGGTATTTTACATGCGACTATTCAGATATAGCAAAGAAGTGATAGATTTTTTCAGGGAGGTTAATGTAACTGTGTATTTCGGTGTCGAGTGGCTTCAAAATTGAAGAATAAGAATTGAAAATTTTATAAATGAAATCATTTCACAAATATATATATTTTTTCTCCAGAGAAATTAAAGCTATATTCTATCATACCTTGTTCTTTACCTTACTGTATTCTTTTCCAAATATTTATAATATTGTTCATTTTTAACAGTTCTCCCAGGCTGGCATGAAAAACCCGATGTGCCGCACACTACTTGGCTTCACCTTCAGATTTTGACTGCTGTGAAAAATGAGAGGTTTCTTCCCATGATCAGTAGTCTGTGGAGAAAGTATGTCTATAATCAAGGCCATGTTCCCACTCTGGGGATAAGTAACTTAATAAAACAAATAAAGGTAAGTTTTAAAGAAATCTGTTGAATTGGGTGTTTAAGAATTTCCATGTCTAGACTACGTACTTTCCAAGAGAATCTATGCATGTTCCCCCAGACTGAACAGGAATGGAACTGTAGTACAGATGTTTGACTTGAAGGTATTGTAAGAGCACAGAATGCAACGCTTTCTTTCTGGGCTTGTAATCTCAGCCAAGAGGGTGCAAGTCTTCTGGACTGAAGCTGACAAGTCAGCACTCCTTTCCAATGTATCATCTTAAACACTTGTTAATTTAGAGAGGACTGAACCATCCTTTTCTGTATGGTGTAGATGTGATTTTGAACATGTTGCTTTTCATCTTTGTGACTCAATTTCCCACCTGGGACGATGTGATAATAATGCTAATGTGTCTCATTATTGTCTTGTCTATTTAAACTGTAAGCTCTTCAGGGTGAGGACTGTCTCATACCATATGTCTTCACAGAGACTGGCAGAATGAGTCACTGATTGCATTTGGGGTCTCTTGGTGCTACTATAATTAAAAGAGAGACAATAATATTAAAAAGGAAGAAAAGGGGAAGGTAGGTCTGGTATCAAGAGACTTTGAAATTTTCTAGTTGCAACCCAAAAGCAAGAGAAAGACTTCTCTCTAAGGAGAGTTCTTGCTTTTTCAACTTTCTCGACTCCAAATGTCATATTGTTTTTTGAGGAAGTACAGTCAAAGCTTTTCAAGCTGGATAATCCAGAAGCTAGTGGGTGGTATACCATTGTAGATGCTAACTGTAAGGGAAGAATTGTTGCTGTGAGCTGCACTAAGGGCTTCAGTTGGAACACAGATCGAATTTTTAATACAACTTTGCTATAAAATAAGAGCATTGCCTCCTTCCTTGTTAGAAGACAAAAAGATGTTCCTGACAATTTGTACCTACAAGTGGAGTAAGGGAAGATGATGTGAGGGAGGCTGTTTCAGGAGTTGCAAGAGCACATCTGTTACTAAGAGATCTATATTCTGTCTGAGTTAATGGGGAGAAGTCTTTCACCTTTGGTCTGTGTAGTAGGATAAGAAGACTAATGAAAGTTATTCATGGAGGTGCTAGAAATGAGTACTGAAATAGTTTTCCACATAGTAATAGCTCCTGCTCTACTTTTGCGTTTGTAGTTTCTAAACTCACATTTTATCCAAAAACGTTATGAAGATTTGACTCCAGTACCTGTTTTGTACAGCATCTGAGGACTACTTTACAGGACCAATTTTTTTGCTTCCTTTCAGCACTTAGTCACATATGCTATGTGATTTACACATCACACTTTATGTTCCTTACTTAAATCTTCACATTCAACATAGTCTGTCTTATCAATGATGATAAAAGCAAGAAACCTTTCTACGTTACAAGAGTGGCTTTTTTACCTGTTGTTTTTTTTTTTTTTTCTAGAAACTATTTGGTTAGATTTGACTCTTAGAGTTCATGTTTATCCATGGAATTCACTCTTGTAAAGTGGGAAGGAAATCAAAGTTGTTTTAAAGGTATTTAGGAATTTCTCTCTACATCCAGTGTTCTTCTTGGCACAGAGAGGGCAAAGACACATCACTATTACTTGACTGCACTAATGCAGACTTCAAGACCTGGATGAGAGGACTTCTTGCTCAAGTAAGATGTCTTCTGTTTCTGGCTTATTAACTAGTTATTGCGTGTTTTGTTTTGTTTTTGGTTTTGTTGTTGTTGTTTTTGTTTTTTTTTTTTTAACAAACAACAGTAACAAATAATCTTAGTACCTGAGAGAAAACTTAATTCAGTAACAAGAATTTAAATGACCTTTCCATTTCTTTTTGCTAGTGTGTTGAGCTTCAGAATTGGAAAGCAGTACTTATTGTCTGTCAGCAACTGTAAAAATGTTAGTTATACTTCATTTTATTCTTTAACACTTTGATCCAAGTTTGTGCCATTGCCCTCTCAATTAAGTGTGAATTTTAATTGCAGGATATTTAAAATATTTATAGAAAAGTTATATTATTGTATGTAACTTTTCCTGTTGACTTAAGTGGAAAATTACTTTTCTAGTGAAACATACATGTTATGTTTAAGAGGGATCTCTAATGGAGGTATGATTCCTTTAAAAGTGAAGTGGCTCTAATCTGTCCATCCTACTCTTAGCAGTGTTTGGGCAAACTGTAATTCTGCATCCTGTAATAACTTTTCAGCATTTTTTCAGGTTGTGGGAGAGTTTACCAAATCTCTTTACTTGTAAGCAGCTGCAGCATTATCCTTGTGATTGTAATTTATTTATCAAATATCGCCATACCTATAGGAATTCATTAGTTTTCATTGTTTCTATTTCATCTATGGATTTTTGGAGGGATAATTGAAAGAAAAAGGCAGGTCTTGCAGCGGTGAAACTCAGTGAGAGTCAGCATTGCAAATGATGTCTGTCTCCATACATTGATGTATTACAGTTCACTTGCTACTTACTCCAGAAACAAAATATTTCTATTTCTATTCATTCTAAATGTAATTAATTTCCATTCGTCAACCATCCTGTGCCAAACAAAGCATTTTATGATTATTAGTAAATGGCCTCATCATGTGTTCCCTTTTCCATTCTTAACTAATTATTCCAGAAAGAAAACTTTTTACTTGGGAAACATAGTTACCTCCACTGAACAATGTATCTGAAAAATAAAAGCAAAGACCATGTTGAGAGGAGAGAAGGTAGATCCAGTGTATATGAGTTTATAATATCTATCTTTGTATTAGCTCTTTGTAAATGGAGTGGTTGTAGAAAGGATAACAACACCTTAGTCACGTTTTTATTCTATATACATATATATACAGGTTTTCTTTGGGTGTTTCATGACTATTATTCAGGAATTTTATGCATTTCTATTATTAGCTTAATATTAACCTTTTATTCATGACCACAGAAGGTGGATTTATTCTATGGCTGCAGCAATTTAGCAAAGCACAATAATAGTACCAAGACCTCACTCTGAATTTTCCTAGCGTCTGAAGGTAGTAAATGATACACATTGGATTTGTTAATGTGCAGCTGCAGAAAGTAGTATCAGTTATTTGCTGATTCCTTTTTTAATAATTTATCTCCTTTACTCACTACAGATTGCTATAATGAATATACTTTTCAAATAAAAAGTGAAGACCAAATTATTCATAAGATCTAAACAAATACTTAAGGTAATTTACTTTTATGAGAATGTCTATTGATTTCTATAGCACTATTTATTATTCTTAAAGGTGATTATTTTGTTGGTCAGGGGCTGTTATAACATAATTCTTATTAAAAGGACCATATTTGTTATGTTTGCCTAGTTAGACTTAGTTAAAGTTTAACAGTAAAATTTAGAAGTTTAGCAGGAGAATTCAAATTTCCTTGGCATTTGGAACTCTATGGTTTGTTGGAGATCATCTGTAGAATAAATTTCAATTTTTAAAAAGCTTCTATTATAATGCATGTTTATTTACCCACAACGACCCTCTTTAATATCCATAAGAGCTTAATATCATAATTGCTTTTAATGTCTTGGCCAAATGTGAATTAACAAATCCCTTTGGAAAATGTGATTATCTCCATCCTTATTTGTAGGGTGACCTCTCTCTTTGTGGATTCCAAATCACTTCATTATAATCAAGTCCTATGTAGGTAACACTGCTGGGAAAGTTGTTGTGGGTCTCCTATAGTAACAATAAAAACGAGTAATAGCAATCACTAAAGAAAATAGATTGGTTAGCTTGTTATGTAACCAAGGCACTGATGTTGGATAATTCTTTCTACTTTACCATACTACATCTACTAAGCTTAACTGCTTAGGCTTATATTTTACTGTATATAATACATTATTTTATACCATACTATATAAAATATAGATATCTATTATATAAAATACTTTACTATAATAAACAGACTCTAAAAGCATTTGCATCCTATGAGAAAAAAAGTTCCAGAAAAATCCACATGATGAAAAGACAGGGCATGAACAGCTTAGCAAAACTCCATCTTTTGGCTTTAAGCTCATTTGATCAAACTTATTTCAGTAACAAATTCTTCATTATAATAATAGACTTCCACTGATTGACTATGAAGTGAGGATATGACCCTTCATGGATCAAGAAATCAAAAATTTCCAAAACAGAAATTATGTTAACATCTTCAATTTCTGTTCTGCTGACTTTCAAACATCCAAGCCAAACCAGCACGAGTAGATTTTTTTTATTTAGAATTGGTATTGGGAGCACAATAATAATAATAATAATAGTAATAATATTGCATATATGATAATAGTATCATTTAAAGTGTGGTGTCTTTATAAATTGTTCAGACTGGGCTTTAGTACATTATTACTGTCTTCCCCTTTTCCAACCTGTATGAGCTTTTTGCTCTTGGGAAACCAGGTCTAGCAGGTAGCCAGAGGAAGATCCAAGGATTTTCCTTGCTGCAAAACTGAAGTTCATTCATAACAAAGGTAAGATATGTGCCTGCAGTGAGGTTTTCATGTTGTCTCAGTTGTATCCAGCCACTAAAAACGTTCAGTGAAAACTACTGAAAACTACTGTTTTGACACTGTATTATATTAAGGAGCCACATGCTACATTATTATGCCACACATAATTTAAAAAAATAAAAAGAAAAAGAAAAAAAAGAAAATGACTTGGAAGAGCACTGTCTCCTGGGGTCGAAAGCTGTGGTAAGCAAGAATAACGCTAATGTTACCAAAGCAGTTTATCCAGAAACCATAGCCATTATCTGAATTCTCGACTTCCCTCACACACAGAGTTATTGTTCTCTTTTGTTAAGCATGAATCAGATTTTGTTTTTAACCAGAAATCTCAAAGAAGTATTAAATGAAACTTTGTTAAAAAAAATCTCATAAAGTATTATTCAGAAGTTATGTAGAAGAGCTTTACTATACTCCATTAGGCAGAGAAATTGTTGAAAGGATATAGTTCATATTCATTTTCCAGCAGTTTCTATTTTTGTTTCAAGAGTTTTGCTATTGTCTTCAATAGGAGGAAAACCAGCCTCTGGTGAAGTGATGTGTAAAACTGTGGGTACCACACTCCCGAATCACTAGAAATGCATTTTATATTAAACTAAATCTGAAGCATGGCATTTCTTATCACATAGGAAATAAAATACATATTAAAAAGGGTAGAAGCATGGTTTTGGTACTGAGTAGTTTCCAGATTTTGGGTGGCTTGCTTCTCCACAATGTGGTGTTAGGATGATGCTTGTTGAGCACAGAGGAAAGAAGATGAAGAGCTAGGTACTGAAACACTTGTGTCACCTCTGTTAGCCCCCCTTGAAGGTGAAGAAAGAGCATAGCTTTCCCCAGCTCAGGTGAAAACACCAGTAGTGGGGAGGGTGAGTTCAGTGTCCTTTCTTGCATGTTTTGCTCAGGATTGTATGGAAAGGGAAAGAGGAGGAAAGGATAAAATTTAATGAAACATAGAATGCTTTATCTTCCCTTTTGAAGGATTGGAAACATGGTCTTCGTAAAGTCTGGAAATTACTGGAAGCGCTAAGATCAATGGGCAAACCTGGCAACTTTGGGGAGCGCTGTGTCTAAGAAATGCATGTTCTGCTGAAATGTGTTAAAGCGTGTCTACCATATACTTCAGTAGTGCATAAAGTACTTGTTTCTTTTTTATAATCAGCTAAGTGCTTTATCCAAACCCTCAGTCTATTACCTTATAAGTTTTTTGGCAAATATTTATGTATATGCCAAATATTTGGCAAAGATTTTTAAGGAAGAAAAAAATACAGTATTTTTCATTAATTTCCATTTTCCCACAGGTCTGATATTACCTACTCTTCTTGATGTTCACAATAAGTATACTTCTATCTCCAGCCTGAGGAGAAGAATGACTTTAGGGCCTGTATTTACCAGAATTCTTTATGTGTTTACTTCATTGTTATTACTCCTGTACAGAGAAAGGGTGCACAAAAAAAAAAAAAAAAAAAAAAAAAAATGCTGTACACAGGCAAAGCAACTCCTGTAGCGTGCTCCTAGAAGTGAGCCTTTGGGATTGAGACCACACTAGAGGAGATATTCAAAATGAACAGAGGTGCTTTCTCCTCTTGTCTGACTTTGGGCAGAAATAAGACAGAACAAAGATCAGTTTTTAAGAAAATTGAAGAAACTAACAACTTGAATTTAGAAAGAAAGTGATCATCTGTGAACACATCTAAGGGAGAAGATAGTAGTGTGTACAGACACAGAAGACAAGAACTGGGAGAGTACGTTACCCAGGTTTTTGCTGCATAGCAGGTGTCTTAAAGAGAGGAAGCTTATAAGACTTTGTTATTGAGTATTTAATTTCAAAGTTTCTTGCATTTCATCTCCTATCTAATATCAGATCTGCAAATCTATATAACAATTATTGGTACTCTGGTTTCCAAAATGGCGCAACTCTGACTGCTTTCTTTTCCTTGGAAATTTCATTTATAGTTTCTCCTTTCTTTTGTTCTGTACATACAACTAGGAAAAAAAAAAAAATGAGACGTTCAGTGTTGACTAAAGAATAAACAAAACTGAAGAGATGGATTTCAGAAGTCTCAGCTTGAAATCAATGGGAAATTGTGAGGTTCTTGATAACATATGGGTGTTCTTTATTCTCATTTAATGGAAATCTGTGAAAGAAAAGCCTTGGAACAAGTAGTTGACAGTGCTTCATTTTCATATAAATTATTGCTATTGTCAATGGCTCAAGCAGTGATCAAGACAGAATGTTGAAACTGGGAAGAAGACCAAAAGAGCTAGTAACACTTTTTTATGTGGGAATTGAGATAAATAATAAGTATAATAGGAAGTAGGTTATAATACAGAGATAAAAGGGCAAAAAAAAATGCTGATAGTATTGTTTAAATAAATCAGTGATGTCACTATGGTAGTTACAGTATGATTCTTCGTCCTGATACCTACTAATAACTCCTTGCAACATGTTGCCCAATGTTCTGTCTTTAAATGGTATCATAAGCAGCATGTGTATAAATTCTGTACCCAATGAGAACCATTTATTTTACTAAGTTAAAATGAAAGATTAGATTGTTGTAGCAAGAAGAAGAATTGAGTTAGAGCACTCCTTTTTGTTCAAATGAGAGAAACTGCCTAATAGCACCCTTGAACTATTAGTCTGCAAAGGTTTTCTTTGAAGCTGTACAGAGAAAGAAAAAGCACTCATTCTTGATCTCTCTAAAGTTTTACATGCTTTTCACATATAAAGGCTCATTGTCATTAGGACAGTAACCTTGTCTTATTTCAAATGTGTTATTACAGACAGCTGTGATTTAACAGGTCAGCTGTTACGCAGATGAAAGCTACGTAGATGAAAGCTAAGTGGCATTGGTAGGGTTGAAGGTTTAAAGCCTTCGAAGTCCTAAAAAGCAGTTACAGTAGTCAAATAAAACATGCTTAGTGAGACCTGCCTCTTTTTTCCATATATCTTGAGAAAATGTTGGACTACTATACAAGTAGTGCTGCAACATGAAAGTACAAAAAAACATGTAAGAAATTCTACTTTTCTACTCACATATTTATGATAGGCCATAGGTGGTATTCCTTAGCATTAACTGATAAGGTTTTTGTTTTTTTTGTCTGTTGCCAGCAATTAGAGATGCCTATCATTTTGTTTTAAGTGTATGACCAAACTAGCCTTCAAAAATAAACTATATCGTTTAGTATGTAATCAGCTGGGGGATGGGAAGAGCCCATTAAAGTAAATGGACATCTTGAACTGAACAATCTTGAACAATGAATTTGTAGGATATTTAGAAGCTTGTCATGAAATCACTTTCATTACAGGATTCAATTTCTCTACATTTTTGAAGTTTAAAGATTTTGTGTTACTTGTCTTTTTTTTTTTTAATTTGCATTCTGATTTGTTTTGTTTTGTTGTTTTGTTTTTCAAGGACACGTGTTTTTTATGTTTTTATAAAGAAAAGCAGATTAATTGTTTAAGTGCAGGCTATCACACTTTAGTTTTCAGGACAAATGTCCAAAATTCAGAAAAATTAAGTAATTTGTACTCAGAGCAGGAAAGAAGCACTGCATTTCCCTGGATGACTTCTCTTTACCATCTGAAAATAGGCATCTTTTCAGATTATACATTGATGTTTAATTAACAATATAATATTATTTTGAGTGATGTTGTTTGAACCACTGAATTGTCTCTTTCCTCTTCATAGGAAATTATGAATTGTTATTCTGCACCATCTCTGCGGCTGTTTCATCAGAATACGGACCAGTCTCCAAGCTGTTTGAAGAAGAAGAGCTGTGCCCTGGTTTTTGCCACTTATGTCATAATATACTTGCTACAACGGGCAATTAAGCTTTACCTTAAAAATACATTCCTAATCCATATATTTATATGAACAGAAGATTAAAAATTTGTAATCACATATTTCCACCACTCATCTCACTAAAAGCAAGCCTTTTAACTAACCAGCAACTTCGCAAATTTTTACTGTTTTCTTTTTCCAGGAGGTCTTGAATTGATACCTATCCTCCTGGAAAAACTGATGAGACGCTCCTTGGTGTCAAAAAAAGAAACATACAATGCACAGAGCTTGTACCACAGTGTGGATGGAAATTTGGTATGTAACATGAGTTAGAAGGAAAAAAAGAATGCGAGGAAAGTATTAGAATTTTATTTGAAGTTCTATAGGTCACTAAGTGCAATATATGCTCCTCACACAGTAGAAATATTTTAAAATGCATCAGACTTGAAAGAGGTGAAGAGAGAACTGTTCATCTTTGATACCAGAGTCATAAGCTGAGGGCACATACCTCTTCCACCTGTAGCACCTATTGATGTAAGTCTTACTGGGTATGGTTCCTTTTGGTGGAAGCGAAAGGACTTTTTTTTAATGCCAGTCCAGCTTGGAAGCGTAATTCCTTTACTACATGAGAACATCTAGTTCTATGTAATGCCCTTTGTAAGTTGTAGTGGGGTTTTTCCATGTTATTTCAACTGCCCTGGTCATTGTAGTGGGAAGACATGACATCACTGGGAACAGTCCTTTAACATGGCAGTAATTACCAGCATCGGGGATGAACTGTGATTCTGCAAAGCACAGCAAAATGCTCAACAGGAGACTATCTGGACTAACCATGGTAAGAAAAGCTTTGAGCCTAAGAAGATGGGAAAAAGTATTATTGATTATTTGATGTGTTGGGTATATATTCTGCTTGACATGAAAGTGTTCTTTTCTTATTAATTACTGGAAATCAACAACTCAATCATGTATTTATTATTCAAATATTCTATGCTGGGTTTTTTTAATTTAATTAATGTATTAAAAAATGATCCTTGCACCACTATTTGCTATGATATACATACGTTATGTTCTATGTGTGAAAATAAAAAAGGTAGAAAAATATTCCCTGATATATTGCACTGTCGAGCTACTGTCTAGAAAGCTATTAAATTGATCTAAATCTTTGGTTATCTAAGAAAGGTCCTAAATGAGTTCCATTCTTGAAAGTGGAATAGCCTCTATGCATACTGTGTTTATTTTTCTCGATGAAGGAATTTTGAAAGACTCAACTAACACTATGAAAATATAACTGGTTTTTGAGTAGTTCTAGGGGGAAAAAAAAACCACAACAAGTATAAAAAAAAGTGAAAAAGTTGTGTCTGAAGGAAAAAAAAAAAAAAGAAAATGGAAAACAAGATTTTATTGTTCTAATCTACGAGAATAAGCTATGCTGAAGTTAGTCGGAACTTACTTTACCCTCAAACATGCATTAATATTTCTTAGGAGATTTTATTTCCTATTTTTGCAACTGTAAATAGTTCTTCTTACTGATGTCATTGACGTCCATCAGAGACTGCAGATTTTTAAAAACTTTTTGTAGTGTTATTTAACATACCTCCTAGATGATTTTTAAGGTCCTTCTTATTCTACTTTGTTATCATTCTGAAATAATGTTAGGATTCTGCAAAAATAATTCAGTGAGTTATCAATTCTACAGATACAGTTATGCAGTCAAGAAATAGTTGAGGAGATAAAAATAATTAAAAAAGAAGAAGGTTAAGGACATAAAGAAAAAGATAGGTGGAAATAAACTAGAGTTTAGTATAAGAGTAGTTCTGTGGGGAAAATCTGAGAAATATGTGAGACAACTCAGTAGTTATAGAGTCAGTTTCCTGGGTGCTGAAGATAAACATCTATAAAGCTCTACCTAGCTATAAGGTGGATATGGAACAGGCTGAAAAGTATTCATTTTACTAATTCATGGTTTTCATGCCCCTGCTGACTTTCTCAAGGAAATTAAAGAGTCTGAGAACTGACATAAATTATGCTTAAACCTTAGGAGTCAACAGATCTAGACTGAAGAGAACTAGCTTTCATCTGGGTAACAATGGATATTTTCACCTTTGATTATCTCACTGCACCACCCTTTATAAAATGATAGACTTTGCCCAGCAATTGTGACTTGAAATTTTGCAGTCAGACTAGGTCAGTGAAATCTTTTATTCTGATATCTCTTCCATATGAACAGCTCTTTTTTTTTTTTTTCTCTCCCAGTAAGTATCCAGAGCTGTCTACTCTTACTTGGATTGCTTATTCATGGTACTGTTTTTCTTACACTCACTAGTGGCTAAAATAAATATTCTGAAGGTGACTTGTGTGTCTAAATGAAAGCATGCATCAGATCCTCATAACGTTTAGGTATGGAGGTTATGCTGTGCATACCTGTATGGGAACTGCTGAGTCATAGCCTGAACCTCTGATTGATCACCTGAGGTGGGCAGTGAGTCAGCCAGAGGAGCACAGGTGAAGGCAATTCCTAGCCCTATTTAAGAGCTGGCTAGCAGTGGGGAAGGATCTCTTCTGGAGATCTGCTCTGCTGGTGTTTTGTGAGTGAGCCCAGGATAGGGGTAAGTCTTCTATTTTTTCTCTTTTGTTATCAGTCTGCTTTGCCTAACTCTCTTGTTTATTTTGTGATTATAACATCCTAATAGTCTTTGATTATACAATGCCTAAAAAGCATGTTTTGGAGGAAGAAACAAAAAGGCAGGAGAACAAACCCTAAGCCTTCTTTTTTCTTTCTCTACTTCAGGAACCCTCACGCTTACATTATTCTAGTATTTACAGTTCCAGGTCAAAGCAAAAAAACAATGCATCAACTATTCTGTTGATTGAAACCTAGCAAACTAGTGAAGATCTTGATAAGATTAAAAAATCAGTCACATATTTACGTGGTCTCAGGTTTATAGGTACACTTAATAAAGTATGTTTGTTTACACTAGAGAGTTTAAGATGGAAAAGCCTCATGACTTACACAAACTATGAAATATTTCAATTCAAACGTAATTTTTTTCTGAAGATTTTATTTCATTGTGTTCAATCTACTGAAAAAATTTTGCATTATTGACAGATCATGATCTGATTTTTCTTTCCATCTTGTATAATGCAAAAAATAGAAACTCTCATGAGAATTACTGATGTATTGTTTAAATACATTTTACTTAATAAGTAGATTAAGTACTGAGAGCTTTGTCTCTTCGCTTTCTCACATATCATAAAAAAAATATGTTTTTACAGGTTGTTCGTATGTTTTGTTTAAATGACCCAAGTCAGAATGCAAACTAAGATAGCAGAAATATTCTAAAATTAGCATCAGAGAAAGTGATAGTTAATTATCTGTTCTGCTTCCAAAGGCTTACAAGTAATGGAAAGATCTTTTTTGAATATGATAGTTAAAGAAAGAAGGAAGAAGCTGGAAAACAGCCATACACATGATATAATTCCCTCAAAGACTGGAGGGTGTCCAGACAGGAACATCAAGAGGCTTTTAGTACTGTTAAATTGGAATCAATTACCCTTGTGGAAGGGGACTAATTCACAGACAGAAAAGAAAAACAAGCTGCAGTGGAGATTATACCTACTAGGTATGCCATACTTGATTACTGAATTTTTCCATTTCCACCTCTTTTCAAGATGCTGATGCTATGAAATAAAAAATAAATAACTTATTTTATTAAAGTTCATTGCAATGTATTGTTTATTAATTTATTTCACTAGCTAATTTAGGCAATATGATAAAAAGCGAAGAGATAATATAATAAAAATTGCAATAATTGTAGTAAGTTGCTTTCAAGTATGTTCGGTTAATTTTATCTGGTAACAGAAATACATCGTAGGTTCTACGAGAAGCATCTTTCAATAAAGATTTCAATCAGAATAAAAATACACTGAATCTTTCCCTTGCAAATTGTGAAGGAGAAAAGATTTCCAAGGTGATGGCAAGTTAGTAATGTGAATTTCAATTGTTATACCTGCTAGCTAAAACCTAAGCAGACAAGATAACACTGTGAATATTTAAATCTAGAGGTTCTCCCTGTCTGAAGTTCAGTAAGAAGGTAGTCATGTAATGAACTGTTAATGTTGTGTATCAAGCCATAAAATAGGTATGAACTGAACTAACTAGTTAATTAAAATAGGCATTGAAAGGTTTCCCCACTCTGTATTGTGCTCTGTATTAAATTCTTTCCAAACTTCTAACGTCTTTAAAAACTGTGAGATTTAAACATGAAAAATTTTGTATGTGGACATATATGTATATTCATTTAGAGATAAACTCCTGAGCCACTTAACGTTTGGCAGGCATCCTTACGTGGTAGGCATGCTAGTGTGGTGACTTACAGAAAGAAAAAGCTTTAGAAATACCAGTCAGTCACATTTCAGAGGCATCTAATTCTTGTTTTGCTAGTGTCTGCCCTTTGATGTCATAAAATCACGGAATATTGTGGTTTGGAATGGACCTTCAAAGATCATCCAGTTTCAACCCCCTGCCATGGGCAGGGCTGCCACCAACCAGATCAGGCTGCCCAGGGCCACATCCAACCAGCCCCTATGCACCTCCAGAAACAGGGCACCCACGGCTTCTCTGGGCAACCTGTGTCAGTTCCTCACCACCCTCTGACTAAAGAATTTCCTCCGAACATCTAACGTGACTCTTAATACAAAAAGACTTCTAGTTTGTGTAAACAGGATTTATCCTTCAAAATTCAGTTCTCAAAACAAGATTAAAAAAATTAAAACAAAATGAGCAGGCTGACAATATGCAATCGGTGGAGTAGTTTGACATTATTGTCTAGAAGAAATAACTGGGAAATCTGTTTCTATTATAAAACCCATCCGCGGGTAAACCGAAATTATCAGAGACAGGCTACGTAATATTTAATGCTAGGAATGAACTCCATTCGGTTGGAAAATGCCTATCAGCACAGTATTTTGGTGCGTACTGCAATTACGAAGTTAATTTTGCAAATCTCATAAGCTGAGCACTTTGAAGATTCTTTTTTACAATCCTTAAATGCTGGTTCTAATAATGTTATGAGTATATTGAACAACTTTATTAAACTCAAGTTATTCTTTAAAAAATACTTTGTGAACCGTTACTACTTTTCTGCCACTAAGAAGTAAATCTAAGGGTAAAAACAAGAAAACTTTGAAGGAAGCCAATGCCATTTAAAATGAATGATACGTTACTGAATCTTAGGGTTTCTTTTATCCTCTTGCTGTTTCATGCAATACATAATCCTTTAGAAATATCTGTTATTCTGATTGTTAATTCTCAAAAGAATCGAAAAACGTTGAAAGGTCTTGGTAGTAAGCAAGATATTATTCTGGTATTCTGTCCTTGGAAAGGAGATGAGGTTTTTTTGTTTTTATGTTTGTTTTTTAAAAAAAAAAAAAACAAAAACAAAAACAAAAAAAAACAGGCAAGTAAGGTGGACAGAAGTCTAGGAAATCAGTTTTAGCAGTGACCCATCTCGAATCTGTTCCTACTGTAAAGGAAGCCACAATAACTGAAACTGGGTGATGAGACCTAGGGCTGAACTTCATCTGTGCACAGAAACGTTGTTTAGTTTAGCTGTTCTTCAGGAAGCATTTTCAAGATTTTTATCATATATAGGGATAGAAAAGTATCCAGGTTAAGAAATAGGTAAGCCTGAATATGATCTCTAACTCTATGCTAAAAAATAAATATTTTTTTTTAACTGAGATCATTGTCAAGTACTGACTGAAAAAAAAAAATATCAGTATTTGTATAGGAATTAACTCAGCAGAATCAAATCAAATCAGCAGAATTAAAAATAA